CCCCCGCCCCCCCCCCCCCCCCCCCCCGCGGGGCGCCCCCCCCCCCCCCCCCCCGGGGGGGGGGGGGGGGGGGGGTTAAACACGCAGAGAGGTTATGGGATGGAAGGGTTTGGACGCTGGAATTGTCCCCCTGAGATTTTCTCACGGGTAAAAAAAAAGTCCTCCGTCTCCGTCTGAGCCCATATTGGGACAAATGTCCGCTCTCCGCCGGGACCCGGGAAATGTATGACTTCATCATCCTGGGACCAACTTAACCCTTCGACGTACCAGAACTCTCCCCACTGAAAACACTGCAATGTGAGAGGAAAGAGATATCTACAGAGAAGTCCAATATGTCCTCTGAGAGCGCTCTGATGTTCCAAATCTAACACTGTGTGCGAGGGATCATCGCCCCCCTCCCCCGATTGCATATTCTTCATGTTCTGTGTGCGGAATGTCAGGAAAGTCAGGGGAATGTTTGTCACATTGTAACCCATTAATGTCTGCGCAGAGATCCGTCCGTACATACGTGACACCATCGCACAGTCATATGACACATCCGTGTTCTGATCCGCAGGAACATCCAGGAGAACATGAACCCCGAGGACGAGGTGGACGAATTTTTGGGTCGGGCCATTGACGCCAGAAGCATCGACCGCCTGCGATCCGAACACGTGCGCAAAATTCTCCTGACCTTCCGCGAACCCGACCTGGAGAAGAAGGTAACGGATGGGGGGATGGAATGCCGCACGGTCACCGAGCCACAAGAAACTGACACTATGTAATGTGACATCCGTCTCCCGGGAACATCACTTCCTGAAACATGTCACATGTTACAAATGTATCCACCTGATGGGAATTATCCGTGAAAAGAGAAAATGTAGCAACAGCCGTGTCTATGGAATGTAACTTCACAAAGTGTTCTCTGGACGGAATCCAGTGTGCAAAGACACAACATTCCGTAAACACAGCGTTCCCCGTACACAGCGTTCCCCGGACACAGCGTTCCCCGGACACAGCGTTCCCCGGACACAGCGTTCCCCGGACACAGCGTTCCCCGGACACAGCGTTCCCCGGACACAGCGTTCCCCGGACACAGCGTTCCCCGGACACAGCGTTCCCCGGACACAGCGTTCCCCGGACACAGCGTTCCCCGGACACAGCGTTCCCCGGACACAGCGTTCCCCGGACACAGCGTTCCCCGGACACAGCGTTCCCCGGACACAGCGTTCCCCGGACACAGCGTTCCCCGGACACAGCGTTCCCCGGACACAGCGTTCCCCGGACACAGCGTTCCCCGGACACAGCGTTCCCCGGACACAGCGTTCCCCGGACACAGCGTTCCCCGGACACAGCGTTCCCCGGACACAGCGTTCCCCGGACACAGCGTTCCCCGGACACAGCGTTCCCCGGACACAGCGTTCCCCGGACACAGCGTTCCCCGGACACAGCGTTCCCCGGACACAGCGTTCCCCGGACACAGCGTTCCCCGGACACAGCGTTCCCCGGACACAGCGTTCCCCGGACACAGCGTTCCCCGGACACAGCGTTCCCCGGACACAGCGTTCCCCGGACACAGCGTTCCCCGGACACAGCGTTCCCCGGACACAGCGTTCCCCGGACACAGCGTTCCCCGGACACAGCGTTCCCCGGACACAGCGTTCCCCGGACACAGCGTTCCCCGGACACAGCGTTCCCCGGACACAGCGTTCCCCGGACACAGCGTTCCCCGGACACAGCGTTCCCCGGACACAGCGTTCCCCGGACACAGCGTTCCCCGGACACAGCGTTCCCCGGACACAGCGTTCCCCGGACACAGCGTTCCCCGGACACAGCGTTCCCCGGACACAGCGTTCCCCGGACACAGCGTTCCCCGGACACAGCGTTCCCCGGACACAGCGTTCCCCGGACACAGCGTTCCCCGGACACAGCGTTCCCCGGACACAGCGTTCCCCGGACACAGCGTTCCCCGGACACAGCGTTCCCCGGACACAGCGTTCCCCGGACACAGCGTTCCCCGGACACAGCGTTCCCCGGACACAGCGTTCCCCGGACACAGCGTTCCCCGGACACAGCGTTCCCCGGACACAGCGTTCCCCGGACACAGCGTTCCCCGGACACAGCGTTCCCCGGACACAGCGTTCCCCGGACACAGCGTTCCCCGGACACAGCGTTCCCCGGACACAGCGTTCCCCGGACACAGCGTTCCCCGGACACAGCGTTCCCCGGACACAGCGTTCCCCGGACACAGCGTTCCCCGGACACAGCGTTCCCCGGACACAGCGTTCCCCGGACACAGCGTTCCCCGGACACAGCGTTCCCCGGACACAGCGTTCCCCGGACACAGCGTTCCCCGGACACAGCGTTCCCCGGACACAGCGTTCCCCGGACAAAGCGTTCCCCGGACACTGCGTTCCCCGGACAATGTGTTCCCCGGACACTGTGTTCCCCGGACAATGTGTTCCCCGGACACTGTGTTCCCCGGACAATGTGTTCCCCGGACACTGTGTTCCCCGGACAATGTGTTCCCCGGACACTGTGTTCCCCGGACAATGTGTTCCCCGGACACTGTGTTCCCCGGACAATGTGTTCCCCGGACACTGTGTTCCCCGGACAATGTGTTCCCCGGACACTGTGTTCCCCGGACAATGTGTTCCCCGGACACTGTGTTCCCCGGACAATGTGTTCCCCGGACACTGTGTTCCCCGGACAATGTGTTCCCCGGACACTGTGTTCCCCGGACAATGTGTTCCCCGGACACTGTGTTCCCCGGACAATGTGTTCCCCGGACACTGTGTTCCCCGGACAATGTGTTCCCCGGACACTGTGTTCCCCGGACAATGTGTTCCCCGGACACTGTGTTCCCCGGACAATGTGTTCCCCGGACACTGTGTTCCCCGGACAATGTGTTCCCCGGACACTGTGTTCCCCGGACAATGTGTTCCCCGGACACTGTGTTCCCCGGACAATGTGTTCCCCGGACACTGTGTTCCCCGGACAATGTGTTCCCCGGACACTGTGTTCCCCGGACAATGTGTTCCCCGGACACTGTGTTCCCCGGACAATGTGTTCCCCGGACACTGTGTTCCCCGGACAATGTGTTCCCCGGACACTGTGTTCCCCGGACAATGTGTTCCCCGGACACTGTGTTCCCCGGACAATGTGTTCCCCGGACACTGTGTTCCCCGGACAATGTGTTCCCCGGACACTGTGTTCCCCGGACAATGTGTTCCCCGGACACTGTGTTCCCCGGACAATGTGTTCCCCGGACACTGTGTTCCCCGGACAATGTGTTCCCCGGACACTGTGTTCCCCGGACAATGTGTTCCCCGGACACTGTGTTCCCCGGACAATGTGTTCCCCGGACACTGTGTTCCCCGGACAATGTGTTCCCCGGACACTGTGTTCCCCGGACAATGTGTTCCCCGGACACTGTGTTCCCCGGACAATGTGTTCCCCGGACACTGTGTTCCCCGGACAATGTGTTCCCCGGACACTGTGTTCCCCGGACAATGTGTTCCCCGGACACTGTGTTCCCCGGACAATGTGTTCCCCGGACACTGTGTTCCCCGGACAATGTGTTCCCCGGACACTGTGTTCCCCGGACAATGTGTTCCCCGGACACTGTGTTCCCCGGACAATGTGTTCCCCGGACACTGTGTTCCCCGGACAATGTGTTCCCCGGACACTGTGTTCCCCGGACAATGTGTTCCCCGGACACTGTGTTCCCCGGACAATGTGTTCCCCGGACACTGTGTTCCCCGGACAATGTGTTCCCCGGACACTGTGTTCCCCGGACAATGTGTTCCCCGGACACTGTGTTCCCCGGACAATGTGTTCCCCGGACACTGTGTTCCCCGGACAATGTGTTCCCCGGACACTGTGTTCCCCGGACAATGTGTTCCCCGGACACTGTGTTCCCCGGACAATGTGTTCCCCGGACACTGTGTTCCCCGGACAATGTGTTCCCCGGACACTGTGTTCCCCGGACAATGTGTTCCCCGGACACTGTGTTCCCCGGACAATGTGTTCCCCGGACACTGTGTTCCCCGGACAATGTGTTCCCCGGACACTGTGTTCCCCGGACAATGTGTTCCCCGGACACTGTGTTCCCCGGACAATGTGTTCCCCGGACACTGTGTTCCCCGGACAATGTGTTCCCCGGACACTGTGTTCCCCGGACAATGTGTTCCCCGGACACTGTGTTCCCCGGACAATGTGTTCCCCGGACACTGTGTTCCCCGGACAATGTGTTCCCCGGACACTGTGTTCCCCGGACAATGTGTTCCCCGGACACTGTGTTCCCCGGACAATGTGTTCCCCGGACACTGTGTTCCCCGGACAATGTGTTCCCCGGACACTGTGTTCCCCGGACAATGTGTTCCCCGGACACTGTGTTCCCCGGACAATGTGTTCCCCGGACACTGTGTTCCCCGGACAATGTGTTCCCCGGACACAGCGTTCCCCGGACACATCGTTCACCGGACACAGCGATCCCCGTACACTGCATTCCCCAGACACTGCATTCCCCGGACACATCGTTCCCCGGAAACAGCGTTCCCCGGAAACAGCGTTCACAGGACACAGCGTTCCCCGTACACAGCGTTCCCCGGACACTGCGTTCCCCGGACACTGCGTTCCCCGGAAACAGCATTCCCCGGCACCATCCCCGGACACAGCATTCCCCGGACACAGCATTCCCCGGACACAGCATTCCCCGGACACTGCATTCCCCAGACACAGCATTCCCCAGACACAGCTTGGGCTGCAGTTTTCCCATATTCCGATCGGGATCTAGAATCATTTTCAGACTAACTTCCAGATATGTATTTGTATATAATTCTGTATAACATCCAATGACTCGGAGTCCCCAATAGAGGGTGACAACGCTCATGCCTGTAATCTCTGTCTGTATGTCTGTTGGCAGTACTCCAAGCAAGTGGACGACCGATTTGGGGCCTACGTGGCCTGCGCGTTCATCGTCTTCCTCTTCATCTGTTCTGTACAAATCACCATCGTACCGCAGTACGTATCTCCCAATATCATTGTTCACAGAGCTCTGACCTATACCGCGGCGCTGTACAGAGGAGCTTACACT